GGAAAAGCAGTAGTTTTCTACAATCTTTTATAATGCTTTTATTTTGTCAGTGTTTTAATTGATGTTGAGGAAGTGCACACAGGGTTTTATTCTATTTTACGCACAAGTTTTCAATATATAAACATTCCGTTTCGTGAATACAGCTGCACAATTGATACAGAGCAATGAGGAAGTAAAATGTACTGTTGTGACTGACAGAACAAGCCATGTGTTACTGTTCTCTGCAGTGCAGGTTTTTTAAATAGGCCTTATTTTTATTCATTTGTGCAAAGAAGAAGCAGTGCAACTCTGTGGTTTAAATCTAGGCAGTGCGCAAAAGTGAACTAGAAATAGAATATCTGCATGCTTATCTTAAAATAACTTTCAGTTTGGCAGTTCATTTTTTTCTCTTTAAATCATTGCAAGTGGATTTCTTTCCTCTTGCATGTAGACAGATTTGTCAGCTGGTCAGTGTAAATGCAATTAAATAAGGCCAGTGTAGGGGATAATGAGAAAATCAGTTCTCTAACAGCCTTGTTTGTTAGTCAGATAAAAGTAGAGTGAAAAAAAAAAAAAAACCACCAGTGCAGTAACATGATGCTGTTAGTCTCCTGTCAACACAGAATTTGACACTCAAGAGCATCCTTTGCACGACATGCAATTAAATGCCACACAGTAGGATTAAATGAAGTCTATGAAAACAGTGGCCTTGTTAAGAACAAATGGCTGAATAATCTCGTAGTCAGAAAGCAAAGGAAAATTCCTGTGCCAAAGATTCCTGGACTGGAGCAATTGGGTAAAAAAGAAAAATCACTGGGCTCTGGGTTTCTCACTTGTCACCAATACAAAAGAAAAGCCCAGTAATAAAGCTGCTCCAGTGGAGCCTACCTTCCTTCATTTCTAGGAAATGGCATCTGCCTCTTCTTTTTAGCTTTAAGAGCCATTTTGTTTTGACCTTCCTTGAAGTGTCATGTTCTCTGATGGTGGAGCTGTGTTTAAATGTGTCTTTGTGTCTGCAACATTTCCACAATAAACAATGTGAAGTTCAGATTAAATTAGTAGTTGTTCAGTGGGAGTATGTTAAAACTATATTGTGTCTTCAGTGTTTCCACAATAAATGGAATGAATATTTACGTGTGCATCTGATGTTAAAAATTACTTTCTCCCTGAAGTTAGAACACTATTCTGAAAGTATGCTGAATAAGATTGGTGACTGGATTAAGGGATGGCTAATATTTTCCTGGAGAATTACATGCTTCAGATGTTTCTTGTCTAGCTTTACAGGTGAGTACTATCATCCACCTGACACTGTATTAAAAGGAATAATTTCACTTGTATTTACAGAAATTTGTACTCTTTCAGTAGCCTTGGTTAAAAAGGAGGGGGGGGGAATTTTTTTTTAAAAAATTTAAGTTTCTGGATATAGATTAAATTAATTTATGCCATTGCTTTTCTAGAGATCGTGAGCAAGGCAACATATTGACAGCGTTGCTATTTCGCCTGTTCTGAAGTTGAAAACTTCAGCTTCTCATGCTTTTACTCTTTTTCCTTGAAAAAGTTCAACTGAATATCTAAAATAATAAATACTTAAGGGAGTAGATGCAGTATAAGTGAATATAAATGTTCTCTGTATCACTGCTTGAACTAAATTCAGTTAAAACTGAATTCACTTCAGGCATATCAGCAACTGAGCAGTCTAGAAATTTCTGACCAGCATACTAGATTTTGTTTTCTCCACAAAGCAGTCTAGAAATTTCTGACCAGCATACTAGATTTTGTTTTCTCCTCATCTAATGCACTATTAATACTCATTTGATATGCTATGTAACTTTTAAGTGAGCTTTGGCAGTGGGTCTGAAAAAAATTGCTGTGAATCCTTATGTTATTTCTAGACAACGGCCTACAATTAACTTGGCAATACATAATTATTTCCAATTTGATTTTAAAATAAACAAAATCTAGGATGGGATTCATGCTCTAGATCCAGCAAGGCTCTTAACTGTTAAACAAACACACACACGCCCCTCCCCCCACCAAACACTAAACAGTTTTACCTTTCTGTATCATGCTCACAGAAAGAAAAATCTGTAGGAAAAAGCTGTCAAAGTGTTTTCTGCTAACCATACTCTTTCTATTGCATTGCCATGCTCCTGCAGTGAGTTTCATCTGTTAAAAACCACTGCTTATGTTCTATATTTTCAGAAGTAAGGAGGGTTTTTTAGTACCTCTCATCTCGGTTCACCTGTGTGACAGGATCTTGACAATAACTGGGCAGGCTTTTGTGGTGACTGTGTTTTCCTGAGAACAACAGTTGTGATATTGTTATTTTTTGCTGCATTTCCTTAACAGGTGTACCAGAGTAAGAAGTTGTGCTTTCTGTTCCATCCTCCAATTAGGATGTCTACTTGGAATGAGGGAAGTTGGTTCAAAAACCAGATCTTGCGCATTTTGGAGCAGGAGTTGAATTGCTGCTTTGGGAGCATATCTTAGTGTTGGCAGGTATTTTTAAGTGCATTCTCCTCAATGTCTCCTTCTGATACGGTTCTGCTTAATTATTTTTTTTTAATATTTAATGCAAAATTCTACCAACATTAGTAACAGAGATGCAATAACTCTTAGCAGAATATCCCACAGCATGTGACCGGGGTGTTAACCTGAGATCTGAACCATGGCCTTTTACAGCCTGGAAAAGTGCCTTCCTCATGCTTTTCAGAAAAGGAAAGGCCACAAAGCAATGGGTATGTTTTTCAATTCACTATTTCTTTGTTCCAAGGATACCAACTGGCAGTCATGCACCTTAATGAAGTCTCGGGTATTTGTCACCCAAAAATGAGTTAACTTACGTAGGCTTTTTTTAATGATAAACTAGCAAAGGTTTATATAGCTCTTCATAATGTATAGGCACCCATGCATGGTGCTTACCTATCTACATGTTCCTCTTTAACTGGTAATAACTGTATTTGCCATGTGAAAAGGTCATCTTAGTTCATTACTCAGAAGTGGAATTGCTCCTGTGACGTATTTCTTTTTTCTGGCTTCTTTTCTCAATCACTTCTTTACTTATTTGCCAATTTTGATTCCATGATAAACAAGTTAACTTTTGAGTTTAACAGATCTTCCAATATTTTTAGCATTTCGCAGGTTAGGAAGCCTTTAAGTTATGAAGGTAAGTGAAACAAACTTTTCAGGGAGAGGTAGCATCTTCTATTGGAAAACTTATAGCTTCTGGTTAAGAGAGACATGCTTTTAAACTTGAAGCCTATTCTTTTACATTATGAGCTCAACTATCACAACTAAAACACTGCTGCTGTGTTTTGAAAGCTGTTCCTGTGAGTAGCATTTTAAGAGGGTCTCCCATTTCTCCTGTGTACCTGTCTCAAAAAGCCCAATGTCTGCTCTTAAATAACATGATTTAAAAGCAATCAAACAAAATAAATCAAAAGTCTCAAACAGTTGTTGGCTTGCCAAATCCTTTTCTGAGACCTGTCAGTAAAGATGCTGTCTCTATTAAATACAAGAGCACTGACCGGAGTTGTTAAACTGAAGAAGATGTGTATGATTTGAAGCTAGAAGAGGATATAATTTGTCATGAATGATTTGGTATTAACACATTTCTCTATTACTCTATTTTCTATTGCTCATGTTTCTATTACTGTGCCCAGGGAGGAAACAACCATGCTAGCAGTAGTGTATTCACCAACAGTGAAGCAGACAATCCTGAAGATAGGAGGAGGATCTCATGGGGATAAGTACTTAAAGAGAAGTTGGTTAGCCTCGTGTTGGTTTCTTGACATGAAGAAATATAATGAGCCATTATTTTAAAATGCATTTGTTTAATCCAACAAATCAGACTATGCTAAAGCCAAATTAAAGCTTTGCTGATCTGCCTGCTTCATGATTCATTCATACAACAGTTATTAGTATTTCTGCAATTCTGTATCTAATGGACTGTATGTTTATAATTCTGAAAAATAGCTTAAAAAAGGGTTAATTTATTTACACTTTATGTGATGGAGTATATAGTCTGTTGCAGAAGTAATTCTTGCTTTGTTTAATGTGAAAGTAAAACAAGGAGTTATATTTGTTTGAACTTCTTGCCCTCCACCCAGCAGAGCTGCATGTAGCCCCAGTAACTAGTTTAGGTCAGGGTGTTAGTTGTTAACATTTTGCAAGATTCAAGTAGCCAGAAAAGGAAGCGCAGGAAGACACCAGCATTATTTAAATCCCAGTTGCACAGCAAATTGAGAGGGACACACAAAGGCATACCAGAGGATAAAAAACTGCTACCTTGAGTGAGATAACTTGAGACTCAGTTAAATCACCATTACAACCTTTCTACTTCCTCTTCTTTGTAAAGCTGCCATAGTGGTGATTGGTCATACATTTTTAAACTAAAACTACATCTACATGGTTTGAATCCTTGACATAGAAATTAATTTTTTATTGTGTGTAAAGTCATTGATCGGACTTAACACTTCTAATTTCTAAGAAGCTCCAATACACATCTGGCTAATGTAATTCTCAAGAGCCATAGTTCAATCCAGTGAAAACTGCATTTATTTTCAGAAAAGTTATTTCCATGTGAAATTCTGTTTGGCCCTATCAGTTAAGTAGCGCTGTTCTAAAAGGGTTGCACATGTGATTTTAGAGACGTAATTTTCCTTATCCTTTGTCAGTTCCAAAAATTATGAATTGATTTTTGCTTCTCAGTAACATACTTAAGAAGATTACACTTTGGCAGCGTTCAGGCCTGGATCAGACACAAAACATGAAAACTCAGGTAGTGGAGTAATTAAAAAGAAGATTCAAGTACTGATGTGCATTTTCAAGTGAATGCAGATTAACTTTAGAATAGTAGTAACTTTGCTGTTATTGCAACATAACCTGTACAAGTTTGCAACACACTGCAAGAGAGGGTGCCTGG